ATGGTTAAAGTATAAATATAGTGATAAATCATATCATGAATCTATAAAAATATTGTACATAGGTCCACGGTTGAGACAGTAAAATCAAATATAGTGATAACATTTATCAGTCAGATCAACAATAAAGGATTTTAAGTCTAATCACTTCAGCCTTATAAACAAAAATTGCAAGACAGTAAATATGCATCTGTTTGCTGAAAGAGCCAAATTAATTTCTCTCTGTTTGAAAAATATATCAATTTCTGGAAGAACAGTGATAAATACTTTCTCCTTATATCATTATATAAAGAACATTCTAAAACATAATGAACAGTGTCTTCCACAACTCCTAAACAAGTTGGGCAACATCTTTTAGCCCTTGGAATAGAAAGTCTACATCCAGCCAAAACAGCTGTAGGCATGTTTGTAGCACAACTATGTAATGCTGTATTCATCTGCAAAACACATGTGGACATTCATCTAGATGCGCCCATGAAGTTCTTAGACTGGATGGGGCTGGGCAGGTTATGCTTTAAGGGCCCCTGACAGAGGTAGCAGATAAAGTTGGTTCTTACACTGGATTGTTAAGGATGGTGCCAGAGAATCCAGAACGTACATAATCATGACAGGAGTACCAAGGATTAAGGTAATTTGGTATAGATGTTGATGTTTTCTAGGTACATATGAATTAAATTGTTCTGCTCTTTATATAAGAAAGACTGGGAGCTTTAGGAATGTTGCACTAGGCCCTGGGGATGTTATGTATAGAAGTTGTGCCTGTGGCTTATCACAAGCATCCAGGGCTAATATCTTGTAACCCTATCGTTAATTATATTAGTACAGAGGTGGCCAAACTGTGGCACAGATACCACTTATGGCACGCAGCAGATAAAGGAGGGGGCGGATCGGACAGGGAGCAGAAATCACAGCAACAGATTGGACAGAGAGAACAGGGCAGGAAGCACAAGGTGGAGCAGTAAATTGAGCAAGGAGAACAAGACATGGAGTAGAAAGCAGTGCAGTGGATCAGACAGGGAAGGGCATTGGAGTAGTATTCAAGGATAGTGTGTGGCTAATTGGACATGCGTGACAAAAATGTTGGACTAAACTGTAACATGGCTGCCAGCCATATAAACCCAGGGTCTGAGCCAGAACATTCAATCTGGCTCTGGGAGCTGCTGAGGGAAGAGCTGCAGGGCAGGAGAGCTACAGAGAAGCTCCTGGCTGATGCCTGGACTACCCTGGGAATACTGCAAGTAGAATGGGGATGTCTTGCAGAGAAATAGGGCTCAGGAAGCTGAGTGATGCAGCCAAGGAGCTAGGGCTGGGCCTCAGACCTAATTGGAAAGTGGTGTTATAGACAGAGGGCATCTTCCTGAGTTTTTAACTGGCGGTTTGTGGAGGGACTAAGAGGTAGTTTGGAGGTCTCATTAGCACCCAAGGGGCATGTGACCACCTTGAGCCCTGCCAGGGGCAGACTCAAGGTGCAGACTGGGGCCAGAGGCCCCAGAGCCCAGGGAGGGGCAGAGCTTGGAGCCAGAGCAGGTCTGAGGTAGGACCAGGGGTCTCAGATAGAGTCAAAGCAATCTCAGTGCCCAGAACAGGGTGAAGACAGGGCCAGGGGGCCCAAAACCAAGGTAATCAAGGCAAAAGCTGGTGCCTAGAAGCCAGATCCAGTACAGTAGGCCCAGGTTAGAAGGCTTAACTAGAGAAAAGGGGTGGAGGCTGAGGTCCCAACAAGGGAATGGGGGTACAGTGATATCTGTGAGGCATGGGCACGGCTGTAGAGGAGGTACAGAGACTTTGATTAATCCATAACGTAATGGCTGCCTTGAGGGGCACATATGGGCCAGGAGAGCATAAGCAACTGTTAGGGGGTGCACATGCCACCCCTGATGGGGCTGGTGTCCCCTGATGGCTGACGCCGATGCTGTCGGTAGGGCTGGTGCCCCCCTGACAGGGCCGCAGTCGTCGTTGGCTTCTGTGGGTGCTCCCCCAGATTCAGGAGGCACCAGTCCCTCACGCAGGAGGGCCCACCTAATGGGAGAGAGTGGTGTGATCAGTGGAGTCAGAGAGAGAGGGGATCTGCTGGTGGGAATTGACTTGGGATCATTCTGAGACCCGTGGGCAGCCTTCCTTTTTAAATCTTTTAATAAGAAGAAGGCATTGACAGGTGAGGAATCAAAGGAAGGTGTCTTAGAGATTGAGCCAGGTAGGAGCCATATGGCCACCAGGGGGTGTCACAGCTGCCCCTGGGGGTCTGGTCCTGTTACAGTGCCACTACAGCTGATCCATTTCATTGGGCAAACACATGACCCATTATCCTATATTAAGCAGGGTACTGCCTGATCCTGCAGGATGGCGGGAAATGTGTTGCCTGATTACAGAGACATATCTGTAAGATTTCCCGGGGCACATCTCTGTAAGGGGAAAAGGCTGGGGTTCCCCACGTACAGAGATGCACCACAGAGATTGCCCAGGCTGTGTCTGTAAGGGGAAAGCTGGTTAAGAAGTCCAGAGTCTGATAGGCTTGATCCTGTGCGAGTATTCCCAGGATTGAAGCCCCAGAAATGCCTGTCTTAGTTAGCTGGAGACTGCAGGCGGTTCTGGGCTGCCCATGGTTTTGCACCATAAAGCTAATAGATGTCTCCCACAATAAAGTAGCAGAAATTGTTACCACATGTGTCGTGGCCACAAATTTTGGGCATTTGTGGTGTGACAAGAGGTATAAACATCTATTTCCTTGGCCTGTGTTCTGCCATAAAAATGTTTGTCATGGCACAAAAGTGACATCTGTTTCTACCTTGATTCAGAGAAAGAAACAACAATAGAGGAGAAAGGAAAGATGCCCTTTGTTTCATCATGAATGCCATCTAGTATTTACTAGTTTTCCTGTGTTTTTACTGGTTAATAGTAAGCGGTATCTGAAAACAGGGTAGGCTGTTGAAGGGCAGAGTTGTTTTGTGAAAGAATACTCAAAAGAAATTGCACAGTTATTGACAAGGTCTGGATCTTGCCAAGCTACTTTGTTGTTTAATTATTTCTGATTGACTGCCTTGTCTTTCTAATGTCAGTCTGTTTAGCAGAGGAACTGTCTTCTCTTTTCTGTATGTGCGGCTTCTAGCGCAGCGGAGCATTACTTGAATACAAATAATAGTAGAAATTAAGCAAGTTTGTTATTGTGATTTTGATTGTGAGAGACTGCTTGTAAGAACGAAATGGTTTCAAGAATGTTCTGAACTCATCTCCTTGAAGACAAGTATATTTTCTGTTGTTTGGCCATCTTCACTTTTAGTTATTAACCTTCAACCAGTTTTACAACACTGTTTAGGTATCTGTTGATGTGGATTGGACAGATACTGGGGGTTCCTGGGGAATCCCAGATGGGTGGGGGGGAATAGTAGCATGTTAGTAGCTTGGTACTACACTGAGGAAAACACTTCTCTAAACTGAGTTAGATAGGTATGTTAGTGGGGTAAAGTGCTTATTTGAAATTCCGGTGTATACTCATGCAGGTGCGACTGTGATCTGTGCCTGTCCTTTTTTTCCCAGCTAGTTTGCCTTCCCTAATTTTAATACAGTCCTTGTTAAGGGGATTACTTCTTCTGTCACATCTCATTCCCATGTCCTTCGATTCTCAGAGAAAACTGTATCCTAGGATCAGAAGTAATTTCCAGAGCCCTGCTTGCATGCAGAAAACTTAGAGACTGAGAATAAACAGGCTATTATAAATATTAACCTGTGAAAGTGCTTAATGGAAGTGTCTTTCTAACATGGTAATGGATAATCCTTGCCCTTAATATGTATCTATGGCTGAAATTTCCACTTTTGATTATAGTCAGACCTCACAAAGCAACAGAATGGATTCAAAATCACCTTAAAAACCTTGGAGGACAGTTTGCTGTCCCGGCTCTCATCAGCATCTGGGAACTTCTTGGGAGACACAGCCTTGGTGGAAAATTTGGAAATCACCAAACAGACAGCTGCAGAAATTGAAGAAAAGGTAAAAAGGCAAAGTCAGAGTCAGGAGGAAGAACCTGGGAGGTGTTACTCATCTTTAAAGAGTTGTTGGTGTCAGCTCTGCCTCTTCGGCTACATAGAGAATGTAAATCTTTTCAGTCCCCATTTTGGCTAGCTTCAAGCTGTTTAATTTTTCAAAGGTTATGTATGGTAAATGGCCTTTTTAAGACCAAATGAAATTAACAGTGCCTGATATAAAGACAATAAAACTTAAACAGTATGTCTAGATAGTTTAGATTGTTCCAGATTAATATTTGATTTTATTTTTTACTACAGTTAATTCTGAATACTTTACGTTTCCTCAGTTAAACCCAGAATTTTAGGCCAGATGGCAGGTTGGAATCCATTAGTTAGTGATATACAGTAATCTTCATGGAACTCAGATGCTTAGTACCATGCAGGTCCCTGCTTTATACGTTTGCTTTCTAAACCAGTCCATGTTGTTAGTGGGTGCATCTTCACATGCCTGAATTTTACTGCACAGTGAATAAAGGCTCATTAAACTGCTCCCTGGTACATGTCTACATGTGCGTCCGGGTACGGAGCAATTTGAGCCCTACAGGAGCAGCTTAATCCAGGGCTGCTCCTGTCCTGCTCTGCCTCCCCTGCAGCAGCCAGGGGGAGCGCCACGCTTCCCTGGGTGCCAGCTGCAGGCTGGCAGAAGGTACAGGGTTAGGTGTGAGCTCTGGAAGGCATGGGGAAGCTGTCCCTGGCTCTCCAGGCAGCTCCCAGCTGCGTAGAACTTGGGGTCGGCTGAAGCTGATGTTCCCGAGAGGAGCATGTGTGGATCCGAGCCACCAGCTGGGGAGGTGGGGCCCTTGGTGGCCATACCATACTTATTCTTCCTTACCTCAGGAGCTGTGATCACAGCGGCAGTGGGGCCTGTAGCTTCCCCACAGTGAATGTCCTGCAGCTGAGGGGAAGGTGCTGGGGTGTAGGGCAGCAGGGATCGGGCAGCAGCTCCAAGGCTGGGAACTGCCTTCACACCACTGAGTGGCCAATCCCATCCCACATTGGGCTGTCTGGGCCCCTGTTCCCCTTCAGTACCTGGTATAATGGCAAAGCCTGGCCCAGCTTGACACCAGCCATGCCTGGCTCTGGGGCTTCTATGGAGCAGGGGTCCACGCTGCCATGCCTCCTGGCCTGCTGCTCCCTGTGCAGTTACTACACTGGTGCAGGGATGTGCTCAGTGCACCTGCAGAGCTCTCGGCAAAGGACAGGAAAGTGCCGGTGTGCTCAGTCCCTGCATCCCCACACCTGCCTGCTCCTTGCTCTCTGCCTTCGGCTCTGTGCTCCCGCCTCCCCAGCCAGTGGTTTGGACCCACATGTGCTCCTTCTGAGAGCACCAGCCACAGCCAACCCTGAGTTCATGTGGCTGGGAGCTGCCCCTGGAGCCAGAGGCAGCCCCCCCAACCCACTCCCTGGAACTCGGGGCTTAGCCAGGCAGCAGTATGTCCCCCTGCTGCCTGGACTGACCAGGTGCAATCTGCCAAACTCAGTGTCAGCTTTTACAGCCCATGCAGCCACATCTTCACCGCAGTGGTGCCAGATTTAGCTAGGTTATAGCTATCTCAGATATGACTGCCTGGAACGAGAGCAGCCCTCTTGATTGCGGGGGAGACATAGCTTAATGTAGGTTTTGTAATGATAAATTATACCTCTTTAACATGGCAGAATGTAGTAAAAAAATAATTAAAACAAACTAGGCCAGAGGAGAGAATGGGATAAACTCACAACAGGATCCTTGTTATCGACAGGTGCGGGCAGTATGCATCTGTTTTGGATTGTTCTCTATTTAAGAAAGGAATCAGACGTAGGAGTAGTAAATGATCAATTCTCAACCTGGAAAGGGTTAATAGTGAAGGCAACTAAGGATCAGTGCTAGGCCTAGACGTATTCTGTGTCCTATATTTATTAATCACATAAATGGAGGAGGAAAAGTGATTCATAAGGAAAGAGTAATTGGCGACAAAAAATAATAATTTTGATTAACCAAGAGTAGGGATTATTATTGGCAACCTCCAGGGACCTATTAAAAGTAAACAATTGGGGAACAATGATATTTGGTCTCAGAGAGTGCTAAACTACATTTGGAAATTTTTAAGATTGTCAAATGCTTTGTGAAACACTTTCTAATTCCAGAAACAGGGAAGCCAGGGAACAATCCTAATAAGCATGTAATAAAACCTGTAGGTGGGTTGCTTCTCCTGCAAGCTTCTCCAGGTTACTCCCTGAGGAGTTCCTCAGCCAGTCCACACAAGTAAAACTCCTGTTGTCCTGTCCTGGACACTGGGAGAGGACCCCTGTGGACACTGGGAGAGGACCTGTGGCTCTGGCCCTACAGAGTAGTCTGGCTTCTCCATGCAGCAAGCAGTTCAGCCCACTGCCTGTCCTTGGCTCACAGCTGTTCCCTCACAGTTCACTGCCTTGCTGCTTTTCTTCCTGAGGTTTTTAAGTTCCCAATGAGACACTCCTTTATCAGTAGCCAACTCGACAGGGCTGGCTGCTCCCTCTTAAGGGGACAGAACACCCTCTGACACACCAAACAGAACCCAAAGCAACTAGCTAAAGCTAAAGAGGGAAGGATAAGGATATCCTTAGGATAAACAATATTCTGGTCTGTCCAGCTATCACTAGACTGAAAACAAACCTGCATGAAAAGGAAGGAAGGATGTCTTAGCTGTTTAACAGAGCAAGTTCTCACTTTACGACGTGTAAAGCCATAGTGGCTAAATCTCTTTGCTCCATAGTACAAAGAATTATTTTATGCATTGATCATAGGGGGATTTCACTTGCTCTTTAGTCCTCCATTTTCCTGTTATGTACTAACCTTAACAGGGACTGTAGAGAAGCATCAGTCTCTCCATCCTCCTACTTTTTTACATTAGAAGGATTCAACCTTAAAATAGATACTTTTCTCGTTTCACAATTGTTTTGGTCTTTTCTTTCCTCACAGGTCCAGGAATCCAAAGTGACAGAAACAAAGATAAATGAGGCAAGGGAACACTACCGGCCTGCTTCAGCCCGGGCTTCTCTGCTCTACTTCATAATGAATGATCTCAACACCATCCACCCAATGTACCAGTTCTCTTTGAAGGTACAACCCCTTTAAGCCCAAAGAAATCTCCCAAATGTTCTTCTGAATAATTTAATTGTTTCATTTACTAACTATGTTGGAAAAGAATCTTTTGTTTTCTTGGGCCAGATTGAGGGAAACATGCCATTTACAGTGAGAATAAGCTTTAGTTAAAGCACCCCCACTGCCATTTTGAAGCACAGGATGCTGAATGCACGAGAGACTGCAGGTGCTTTAATTAGAGTGCCATTTACAGCAGCATCATTTTCTCTTTGCTGTAGCTTGTAAAATTCTAAAAATAGTCCTATCAGCGTGACTATATCTAATGTATTCAGTGGTATTAACTTGTGGCCACTTATTTTAGATTAGCTAGGATCCAATTGTTGGAGTCTTCTCATTTTTAATCAAGTTATGGTCATGTTTTCAGTTGTGCTGGATAACTTGGTAATGTGTTCTGTTCAGTATGCTCTGAAGGCTATTGGGTCTTTTCTCATTTAACTCAGAAGTGTTGGTGTTTCTTTAAAACCTTCATGTGTCATATTACCTCCTCATCAGGAGATGCCTTGAGGGAGCCTTATCAGGTAATCTCCCCCCCCACAGGTCATTAGATACTATGTACCTTTGTTGTTTTGTCTCTTCTGCTGAATTCAGGCAGTAAAAATAGTAAAAATGTTTTTAGAGAATTTGTACAACTGCAACAAGGTGTATTTTTCCTCTAAATACTCCATTGTCCTTCAGCTCAATTTGTGCAGAAAAGATAGAGCTGTATAATCCCTATGAGAGACTATGCCTTGTCCATGAAATATCTCCTGTAAATAATTCAGTTTGCTTGTCTATGCACTCCCAAATGAATGTATGCAAGGTCATTGTTTTATGACTGTATACCCATCAAATAGTTGTAAGATAGAGCTTATCCTGTAAAAAGAGAAAACAACTAAACACACCAAAAAGCTAGTACAAGGCCTAGCTTCCAGCTCATTACCCTTTTATCTAGAGCTGGCATCTGATACCACTTGACTGGGTGGTTTACTTTATTTATGATTTCTGAGACTAGAAATTCAAAACACACTTGAATTAATTTACTCTGTTGAAATGTTACACAACATCCAGGTGCATTAAAAGAGGAATTATAAAACAGTCTTTCTTATGTCTCACAACCCAGGCTTTCAGTGTTGTTTTCCAGAAGGCCATTGAGAGGGCCCTTCCAGAAGAGAACCTCAAAGAGCGTGTAATAAACCTCATTGATAGCATTACCTTCTCTGTGTTCCAATATACTACAAGGGGGCTTTTTGAATGTGACAAACTCACCTACACCGCCCAAGTTACCTTCCAGGTAAAAAACAAGATCAGCTTCATATACATTCAATCACTTATTTTAAAAATCAAGTTATTGACATTGTACATTATCTTCCAGGAGAGAATGCAAAATTGCACAGCCTTCAGCTTCAGAATAGCTAATGAAGTTGGTTTGGGAATATGTTGTCTCTTTCTGCCCTTATCCCTGCTAGTAATCACAGGTGGCATGTTTGATTTTTATTAAGTTGGCAACCAGTATTGGTTGATTAAAGGTTGGCCCTCATGGATAAGTTTTTTGGCCAGAAAAAGATGGCTAGCTGCCACCGTTTTGTCTTAAACTGAGTCCTTTTGAGTCCTAGGTAGAAGTCCTTTTAAATGCATATTATATATTTCAATTTCTATATTATATCTAGAGGTTGAATTAATATAAATGCTTATACAGTGACTGTTGTTATGTGTTAAAGTTACTATGAATTATGCATGATGAGTAGCAGTCTGAGAGTTAATGCATAAAATGCCATGGCTTTGGAGAGATCTTGCATGAGTTTCATTTATTCCTCTGCAAAATATATATTAATGTATAATTAAGTTTCCTCTAATTCTTAATATAATCCTTATTAAAAACTATATAACAAAAACATTACACTTCAAAATTCTTAATTACCACAAAGTGTAGAGGTTACCAGCAAAGGGAATTTATAAAAAATATCCCTTTATAGTTACTGTTGGTACATTAAATTATTGACATGTAAAAAATAACTATACTTTTTACAGACTTCCTTAATTCTGCCCACAAAATATGTATACACTTTCAACATGCCCATCACCAATGTGTACATGTCTTTTTCTAGGAAAAGTATTTGGTAGCACATAAGTTGGTAATCCATGCTAAACTTCTAATGAATTTATTTTGAGTTTTCAAGAACATTACATTTCTGCACTTAACAATAAATGAAGTAAATTTGGTGTTGAGATTATTTTTATCCATATGAAAACATAATTCCCATTTGAACTAAATAACAAAACAGAATCTATAAAAGTTCACATGTTAACCAGGATATTTTTACAACAAAACAATGACTTTGAGCTAATATTGAGATACTCCTTTCTATATCTCATATTTGGCAATTGTTAAAGTCAGCAGTCATTCCCTGACAACCTGAAAAATAAATGATGGCTGAATATCCCAGAAAGAGGTAGTTATTCATGTTAGTCTGAAGTTAATCAGCGGGCAGGTACATTTGGACATTATGGACTAACTAAATCAAAGATGCGTAACAAGAGTTTTCATCAGATGAATGTCCAAGACCATCTTTAGCTCACAGCTGTTCAAATGCCAAATTTCAGGAGATATAAATAACTTGCTCTTCTTCTTCCCATGTGTACCACTGGTTTTCAGTGTCTTCTGAATATCATTCCACAAAGAGTGCCAAAGAATCTTAGACTAGATAAACTACCAGAGCCCAGTAAACCTGATGTATTACCTGGTATATTCTATTCAAAAGTGCATACAGGATTTTTTTATTGTTTCCTTTCTCATGATTGTGAAATAATTCCTCTTACCGGTTTTAAATGTTTTTGATATTTCAGTGAACCAAAAACATATTTTCATTAATAATGTACTGCCCCCCAAAAGCCAGTAGTTAGTTGGTTATACAGCAACCAGTCATTCTATAGATTTTTAAAGTCAGAAAGGACCCTTGTGGCTACGTACTCTAACATTACACAAGCAAGGACCGATATCCTTGCCCACTGATTTCTAAATCAAGCCCATATCTTCCGTTTAAATTGAAGCTGCTGTTTTAGAAAGACATCCAGTCCTGACCTTGTACACTGCAAGAAATAGAAAATCCCTGAAATACCCATGCCTTCTCTGCCAGCAGGCATTCTCATTTGCTGTCAGTGACATCTTCAGGCTTTGTCACTATCCAAGTCCTTTTTAATAATCAGTACCACTGAGGTACTGGACTGGATGCTCTGTTCCAGCTCCCATGCTTTCTTACAGTATCTAGAATGTATTTTACCAATCCCATTTGGCTGGTGGGGCTTCATACAGTTTAGCCACAGATTCTGACATGTAATGTCTTAAACCAGTCTGCTGTATTCCAGCCTTTCTAAAGTACACCATTTTTTGACATTGCAGATACTTCTGATGAATAAAGAAATTAACATTGTGGAACTGGATTTCCTGCTTCGCTATCCCTTACAGCTAGGAGTCACGAGTCCAGTAGAGTTCCTATCTAATCATTCATGGGGTGGCATCAAGGTAACTATTTAACTTTAAGTAAATGTACTTTATCTCTTATATTCACTAGGGCTTCATCCAAAATTGGTGAAGTAAATGGGAATCTTCTATTCAATATCATAGGCCTTAAATCAGTCCCTATAAGATCTGATAAATTGGAGGCTGCCCACAGTTCAGAGATGGCACAAAGTGTTCCATTCCTAAAGAATGGAATAACTTTAAATGGTAAGACTATGGGTTGGGAATCGAGATTTGCGTAATCTATTTTTGGCTGTATAATGGACTGTCTAGGTGAGTTATGTCCCCACACCTTTATCAGGGTGTTGTGAGGAATAACTGAGTAATATTTGTAAAAGACTTTGGGATCCTCACAGAATACTTAAGAACAAATAGGAAAATTCAGAGTTGAGATGAACATCTAAGTGTGAGAGGCAGAAACTTGTGGAAAATGAAACAGTTCCTTGTGGGGGTCTGCTACCTTAATGGTACTAAATGACCTGCCCTCAGTAGTGACTAGGTTCAGTGACATAGTAAGTCAAATCTGTTGCACGTAAGGAAGTGATGGATGAAGAAAGGATCAACAAAATAAACAGAGAGGCTTTCTGAGCTGCTTCTTGCATGTCTAATGGCCACTTGAAACCATGGGGAGGACTAGGAGTGCTGTACTGTAGGATGCCTGGAGAACCAGCTAGACCCATGTCACAGAACATGTAGGGTGCCTACACATGCTCCAACATGTTCTGATTAGAGAGTTGATTACTCGAGTCTCCTGGGACATTCTAATTAGGATGCTCCAGTGTGCTGCATGTCTTTAAAATGGCGGCAGCGGCACTTTAACTAAAGGTCATCAAAACGTTCATAGTATCAAAATCTTGCGACTAATCCACAGAAGTGAATGGCTCTTAAGCTTAAATTTACACACTTTGGGTGCCTCTACACAAAACGTTTATTGTTCAGGCAATTAATTAACTGCACAGTAAATGTCTCAGCATCTACATGTGTGCCCCTTTTAGGGCTCCGTAAACTAATAAACTGCAGCAGAGTAGTACATGGAAATATAAGTACTACCCTGCTGCAGAGTTTTTTCAGGTACAGCAGTGCACATGTAGACACTGGCTGGCTGGCTGGCTGGGGCACAAAGGTGCTTCAGTGCCAGGACTGCCTGCCAGCTGCCCTGCACCAAAGCGCCCTCATGCCCTAGCCAGCCCCTTCACAGCACACTGAGTCCAGTCAGAGCAGCTCCAGACTGCCAGGCTGACTTCCCCATGCCAGCCAGGGCTGCTGCAGTCCAGGCGCATGTGCAGACAGGCACTTCGGGAACTTCCTGGGCGCAATAAACAGCGGTGGAATAAATATGTCTAGTGGCCACTTGGAACTTTCTAACCAAAAGCTCCACCATTTATTGCTGCCCCCTACTGGGATGTGTAGACACACCCTTTGGGGAGAATTCTGGTTTGCTCTGTGTGTCCAAATGTTAGCTTTTAAATCACATAAGCTGCATCCACATGAGCTGTGGTGTGCGTTTGCAGCAGCACAGATAGTAGTTCCTCTACTCGTGTGGTTTGCAGTCGGATACATTGTCCTGCTGCTTCATGTGATGCATCGGTGGCTGGCTGGGGCACAGGGTGCCTCAGTGTGGTGCTAGCCAACAGACAGCCCCCACGCTGAGGCACCCTGTGCTCCAGGCACCCAGGGAGCAGCACATGGAGATGGGGGACTAGGCTGCCCAGGGTGCTGGCTGTTCCCTCATCTCACAGCCACACTGTAGCTGGCTGGGGCATAGTGTGCCTTGAGATGGCAGCTTGGTGTGCCTCAACCCAGCGCCTCCACAGTGGAGGCCTTGCACTGAGGCACATGAAGACAAGGAAGCAGCCAGCCCAGGGCTGCCTGCTCCCACATCTTGAGGCACACTGTGGCCCAGCTAGCTGGGGAGTGGCTGGCTGGGGTGCAAGGTGCCTCAGTGTGGGGCTCTGCAGAGCATGGTGGCTCTGCAGAATGCAGAGATGGGGGAACACGCAGCCCTGAGCTGCTTGATTCCCCATGTCCACATTTGTCCCAGCACATAGGACTTTGACATGCTTTGTGCCACACCTTTTTCCAGGGTCTTTTTTGCTACCAGGAAATCCCAGTAGAAAAATTTGCCCAGTGCACAGTTTAACATGCACCAGGCGCAGTTTAATTACCTGCACCAGGCACAGTTTAACATGCAACACGTGTAGGTTGAGGTGCCACAAAGACGTTTGTGGTGCCACAAACCACATGTACCTGCACATCTGGATCTTGCCATAAGTGGCATTTTTGGTACTTAACTCAGGTAACAGTTCTATTATGCCTGCAGTAATAGACACAGAGAAACAGATGCATGGGATCCAGTTTCTAGAAACCTACTTTGCCTACAGGAAATTTGAATCTGTATCTTTCTGACTTCTTAAAACAGCAGGCTAAGCACCACATCAGAGGCATTTTCTACGCTCCCTCTTCAGCCTTCCTTTTGAAGCTGGCCCGTTTGGGAAGCCATGAGCAGGAGCTATGTGGGGCCAGGAGTAAGGCTAAGAATAGAGTTAAATTTGGTCCTGGATAAATTGTGCCTGTGTTTATCCCAGCATACAAATATCATGGGTTTGGTGTGTATAATCAGGGTTTAGTAAGCAGCTGAATGCAGTGCCACTTTGCTGCCATTGATTCAATGGCAGAATCCTAGGATTACTGTAGAGACGTACTTTATAATATTCTGGGATAAGCCATTACCACCTCTTATCTAGTAAACTTCTTTAAGATTTATCCTAGGACAGTGGACATCTGTATAGTTTTGCTTTGTTTCAGGATAAAATGGTTTATCCTGGCATAAATGAGAGAACCACTTGCAATTTAAGAGAGTAAGCCAGATGGTGTATCGCTTATGAGATAACTGCAGCTATGGGAGGGAGCTAGCCCCGGGTCCTAAAAGAAATTTTTGCACTGCACTGCTTTCCATCCATTTTAAATTCAAAGGGCACTGGTTCAGCCTCAAAAGAAGCACTAGAGAAGGTGTTAGCAGCTGCCTAGTCAATGGTGTGGTAGTTAGTGCACTATGCTAGGAATTTAGAAAGAATTGAGTGCAAACCCTTCTGCATGAAGGGAACATAGATACCGTGGTCCCTGGCTTCTTGCCTGAGAGCCCTAACCAGTCAGCTTTTGGAATTAAACCACCTTGCTTTTCCTGCTTTTTCTGGATTTATATTCAGATACACATATACAGCTAGTGCATGGCATACTAATTGTGCTTATCTATGCATGCATGCTTATTTATCCCCAGTGCAAAGGAATTTGCAGAATTGAGGGCTTTAAATTTATTGCTGGCGATGGCTCTCCTCTGATCATTGCTATGGTTTAGGAATTTATTTAAGGCAGTGATTCTTAACCACAGTGCTGTGGCCCACATACTGTTAGCACTGTTAGGTGTGTAGACATGGCTTACAAAATAAACCCAGAGATTTCAAATAACAATCCACAATGCCTACCACCTTCTGACCTGTTGTAATCTTTCTGAGTTCTTTGCAACCAAGTAATTGCTTTGTTCTTTTTCTGTAGTCAAAAGTGTACGAAAACTAAGAGTTGACATTTTCTAAGGCATGCCTTGAGTCTAATAAAGTTGAAAGTCTCAGGAAGAAGAGATTCAAATTAAGCTTTTTTTTTCATTTTTGAAAAACCACAGAATTAAAGCTCTAAGATGCAAATTGCAACTCACAGGCTAGTGCAGCTCTTTTACCATAAGCAAAGACATAAAGACACCTGATCCTGGCCTGGAACAGCATTTATTCCCAGCAGGAAGCTATAGGTTGTACCTCTATATTATAAATGAGAATAGCAAAAATATGTTCCATTTAATACCACATATACACTTGGGCTTTGTTTCAGGGCATTCTGTTCCGTTAAGAGGAAACAGTCTGGAAATTTGTGATCAGAAAATGCTGAAAATAGGGTGTTTGCCTGCTGTACTTAGTGTTTGCTATTCAGGAGGTTCCTGAGCCCTCCATGCGGCAGTCTCCTTTTGAATTTTCATATAGAAGGCAACCCCAACATATATTGAACCTCTTTCAGAGACCTGGTAGACACAGGACATGAAGTCTCAAAATGTCATCCAGTCAGTTCTCAGACTATGAGAATGGCTGGACCTAGTCAGGGGGTCTTTACCTGAGAGAACCTTAAGACTGAACAGATGGAACGGCTCCAGAATAATACTATAATAAGAACTCATGACTCTGGGGCTGTCAGTGTGGCATTTGGATCCTGTTGTTGATCCTTTCATCAGCGAGTAAATTCCTCTTTAAATGGCAGGATCACAATAAGATCATAAGGCAAGTGGGGGATATGTATCTTGGGCAAGGGGGAGGGGGCCATGGGGAGAGATGGTATGGGTCCTAAATATATCATGAATCTTCTGATACCCTGGCAAGTCAAAGGAACACTGAACATTTCAACTCTTTTTTCAGGAAATACCAGAAATGTAGAAAAAATAATTCAACTCCCAACCAGTGAGGGTGCTCTGGGGGAGAACTTGTCCACAGCTCAATAGGAGGTAAAGGCCCTGTTGAAGGAATTTCCAGATGTGTTCACAACCTGACAATGAAGGACCACCCTGATTTAAGCATAGGATCATCCAGAACCAGGATGTCCTATCCAAAAGGGATTCTTCCAAAGACTTGAGCAACTATGGGAAATATTAAAGGAGGAAATGCAGAACATGCTAGATATGGAACTGATTTAGCAGTCATTAAATGAATGGTGTAGCCCCATTGTGTTGGTCCCCAAACCAAAAAAGATGACCAGTTTTTATATTGAATTCTTTCAGCTGAACGTATTGTCAGTTTGCTGCTTACCTGCTGCCCCTGGTCGATGAGTTATTACAGCAGCTGGAGAAAGCCAAATATATATAATTATGGGATTTGACTGGCAGATTCCCTGTGTTCTGAAGTCCTGAGAATTAAAAGCATTCACAGCACTTTGAGTCCCCCCTTTTGGCTTCCATGGCCCCCCTGCCA